AATGACATGTTGCTTAAAAAAGAAGTGTGGAAGTGGCTGCATCTGAACATTGTTTTCTCTGCTTCTACCTTGCCGCTGGATCATGTAGCACCAGTTTGGCTGCTCTCACTGTCAGCTATATATGATTTGCTAGTAAACACTTTAATTAACAGGCAACCCTCCATGTTTTTCCTCGCTTATGAACAGAATCATTAGGTTGCAGTATCAGGACAGTAGAGAAAATGACACGCTGCACTGTCTGCTTCATATGTCTTTGATTATACATATACATTATGTCATTATGTCTTTGATTATGCATATAAATACTTTTTTTACTTTTGTCCTTACATTGTAAAGTCCCTTAATAAGACTATCAAAGAAGCTGGAACTAGAAATATCGATTTGAGTATACAGGAATGGAACACTTAAAATAATACATTTATCATCTGCCAATGAGTTAATTATTATTGTACTCCTGTTCTACAAGTTGCTGTTTTTGGTTTTTTTTAGGAGGGTGCTTCTTTCTTTCTTTCTTTGTTTTTAAGTTAAACCATTTAAAATTAAATGGAACTGTGGCGCACATTGGACTATGCTGCAGGCTTGGCAAACTAAACTTATCTTTTGCAATTTCCTAAGTATGAAAAAAGGTAGATTCTGCATTTGCGTGGCATATTTTTAAAATAGTTCCTGTGAGTTCTGTCCTTCCAGTCTGTCGTGCACTGTTTTCCATGTAAATGGAAGGGATGTGTGTTGGTCCTGGAAGATCAGTACCTGCGAGTATCAAATTTTAAAAGGTTGAGGCATAAGTGACATATGTTGAAACGTGCTCCCAGGCACTGCCCAGACACCAGGTATAATCAGTGGAGATGTTACCTGCAATTTACTCACTTTATACACTGTCAGTTGGGTTTTGCTGCTCAGCATCTATGAAGTAATGTTAAAATTGCCTGGAGCTAGTCTGAAGTAGAAACTTCACAGGACATTCTTTAAAAAGTAAGTTGCTGAGTTATAGGGGGAGGAAAGGACCAGGTAAGAGCCTGGGGCCAGTAAACTGTGGCGGTGCAATAGTTTTCTTGCTATCTGATTAGTCACAGCTAGAACAAATGCTTAAATTTCAAGGGTGGGTAAGGAATTAAGCTACTACAACTCAAAATGTTTGAAAAGCATCTCTTTACAACTCAAAATGTTTGAAAAGCATCTCTTTAATTGCAAAAGGGAATATAAACACAGAGATACTGTCAACAGAGAGTAACACTGGAGAGAATCCAGAGGAAGCCCTGCCCCTCACTGACTCCAGTTTAAAATTTTATGCATGCCAGGAATTTGCACTGATCTCAAGGGTATCCACTGTGACCAATTAATTAAACCTATGGATACTGGGGTTTGTAGAAAAGAGCAACTTAAGGCAGATTATATTATTTGCTTTGTCTTCATTATGTCAGTTAGGCAGCTTCCTTTTTAATGAACCGAAACATGTATTTTCTTTTTTTGTTTTTAACTTTAAAAATGTATATTACATGTTATCTTTAACCGTGATTTGGCTTTAAGGTTCAATCTTGCTCCCTTTGAAGTCAATGACTCTTGAGATCAGCTTCAGCAAAAGATCAGATAATTATTTAAATATAATGCCTCCTAAAGTAATTTAACCATTAAGTCTACTGGGTTGCGGTCGGTTATACCTGATAGACCCTTTCTCTCCTTCCAGAGTGAAGATTCCGATGAAGATGAGCCTTGTGCAATAAGCGGGAAATGGACTTTTCAAAGGGACAGCAAGAGGTGGTCCAGGCTTGAGGAGTTTGACGTTTTCCCTCCAAAACAGGATTTGAATACCCCCTCCCCAGAAGCTCATTCCCTGACCAATGCGGCTAGCCATGAAAGCGTCCTGACAGACCTCAGCGAGCGCCAAGAGGTGGCTTCTATTCACAGCGTCAGTAGCACCAGCAGCCACCAGCCACCCCCGCAGAGCGAGACAGCTACTACTAGAACAAACTCTGTTGCCAGCGTTTGTTCATCAAGCAATTTCATAGCAAATGACGACTCCTTCAGCAGCCTGCCCTCGCCTAAGGAGCTGTCTAGCTTCAGCTTCAGCACGAAAGCCAATGAAAAGAATGCCAAGTCCAAAACAAAGAGCCTGTTAAAGAGGATGGAGAGTCTGAAAATCAAGAGCTCTCACCATGGGAAAAAAGCCCCTTCAAAGCTTGGTCTTATTATCAGCGGGCCCATCCTGCAAGAGGGCATGGATGAAGAGAAGCTGAAACAGCTTAACTGCGTGGAGATTTCTGCTCTCAATGGCAATCACATCAACATACCTATGGTACGAAAAAGGAGCGTCTCCAATTCCACCCAGACCAGCAGTAGCAGCAGTCAATCCGAGACGAGCAGCGCTGTCAGCACACCGAGTCCTGTCACAAGAGCACGCAGCCTCAGTGCGTATAATAAGAGGGTGGGCATGTACCTGGAAGGTTTCGACCCATTCAACCAGTCGACATTCAGTGATGTTATGGAACAGAACTTTAAGAACAGGGGAAGCTTTGCAGAAGACACTGTTTTTTTTATTCCTGAAGACCATAAGCCTGGCACCTTTCCCAAAGCCCTCTCCAATGGTAATTTCTCCCCATCAAATGGCAACGCTTCTGTGAACTGGAGAACTGGGAGTTTTCACGGACATGGCCACCTTACCCTTAGGAGAGAAAACAGTGGGGACAGCTCCAAGGAACTGGTCATTGGGAAAAGGCGCAACTCTTCCAGCTCTGTGGGCAGTCGCATTAGCATTTATGACAATGTACCAGGCTCAATACTGTACTCCAGTACAGGTGATCTGGCTGACCTTGAAAATGAAGACCTCTTCCCAGAACTGGATGACATCCTTTATCACGTGAAAGGGATGCAGAGAATAGTAAACCAGTGGTCAGAAAAGTTCTCGGATGAAGGGGACTCTGATTCAGCACTAGATTCAATTTCCCCATGCCCTTCCTCTCCAAAGCAGATTCACCTTGATGTGGATAATGATCGAACAACACCCAGTGACCTTGACAGTACAGGAAATTCATTAAATGAAACGGAGGAGCCCTCAGGACTGCAGGACAGAAGGGACTCTGGGGTAGGAGCATCACTGACACGGTCCAACAGGTCAGTTCTATGGGTTCTCTCACTAGTACCAGTTAAAGCCTTAGCCTGGCAGAAGCTGGGAGAAGGAAAAGAAATATGTGACTTTTACAAATCATTTGGCAAAGTTATGGCTGGGAGTAACTTTATTTTTTAACTTTTAAACTAGAGTTGTTCCTAAGCCACTGTAAAATAATGAACTTATTTGTGTAGTGTGCCAGCCTCCACTGAAATGGAACCTTCTGTGCGTTGCAGAGTTATTTTCCCCAGACACATTAAAGCGGTTTTTCGGGGTGGGTGTTGAATCACTTTTTGAACTGAAAACAGTGTAGGAGAGGAGCACAGAATGTCATGATCCAATCTATACATTATCCAGGGTGCAGGTGTTTGGGCACCTGCTCTTCCAAATTGCCTGTACTCTGTTCTGTGATAGTAAGAAGTCAAATCCTTGATTTTTATAACTTGATTTATAATCCTTGATTTTAAAACATGTCGCTTCTAGGAGCCCAGTCCCCTTAATAATATGCCCAGGCATTAATTCCATATGAACAAAGCAGAAAGTAAGTTACTTAACTCACTCACTACAGTGCCATGGGGTTTTCTTAAGGCTGCCATAGTTGTCTCAGTTGGCTTTGAGTTCTCAGGTGGTATGGCAGTGCTGTGTCTGTGCTACATATAGCAGTCAGCAGGGATCTGGCTTCATGGGGTGCTTGCAGATGTTTAAAAAAAAAAAAAAAATCCCCCAAAATGGTGCTTTACTTTAAACTTGGCACGTTCCTGTGCCAAATGCTTACATGCCCAGAAGAGGCAGCATGTTAGTTCAACCCAGCTCTGCAGCATCTGTAAAGATTGGGCACTTTAGTGAGACTTTTTGGTGCTTTTATCTAATAGCTGATCGAGTCAGCTTTAGCTAAAAGCGCCAGAAAGCCCCACTGAAGTTCCCAATCTTTACAGACACCGCAGAGCTGGGTCAAAAGCTGCTGCTTCCATTAAGGCACTTTTTTGTTTAAACATCTGCAAGCAGCCATGGATTCTGTTCCCAGCTTTGTCACTGGTGTTCTGCTTAGGCTGGTGCAAATCAGTTAGGCCTAGATTAGTAAAGATATATTTAGGCACTTTCAAAAGTGCCTAACTCCAATTAAAATACAGGGCTTTGGGCACCTACATACCTTTCAAGAATCCAGCCTTTAGTCAGTCTCAGTAATATCCCAAGAGGCGCTGTACATGAATTCATTAAAAACCCTTTGAGAACTTCTGACAGTGCAAATTGTGGTAGTTAATCCCATGATGCTGATTTACACCAGGCTTGCACTCCCATGTAGTCCCTGGGTATTTTATATTAAGTACACTGGATTAGAAGCTCCTAACTTGGGATGGGCAATTATTTTGAATGGAGGGCCACTTAATGAGTTTGGAGGACCTGTTAAGGGTCACATCCATCTCTGTTGCTCTCTCTCTCTCTCTTTCTCCATTCCCTCCCTCTAGAATCTGGCTGAAGCTGCAGTTCGCCAGGAGACCTGATGCTCAGCTGTGCACCCTGGCAGGAGCCCCTGCTGTGCCATACAGGCTGCAGAGTCGGAACTTGCCCGCAGTGTCACAGCTGACATTGAACGCCCTCCCAGCATAGGAGCAGCTCTTGCCTGGGTCCACAGCTGACCCTCAGGGCTCCTGGTGAACTGCAGCTTTGTCCATGTTTTGGAGGGAAGGGGCAGGGAGAGAGAAGATGAGAGAAGAGAGAGACGCCACCCTTCCAATGCAGTAGCAGCTTCTGTCTGGGTCCAGAGCTGACACCACCGGCAGGGCGGGCAGTGGGTCATCTGTGGATGCTGGTGGTGACAGGTTTTGCATCCAAGCTTCTGAACCTGCCAACAGAGTCCACAGCTGATGCCACTGCCTACCTGCTTTGGTAGAAACCCCACCTGGGTCCACAGCTGATGCCTGATACTGCTGGGCAGAAGCAGTCCTGCCCACCCTCTCAGCACCACACAGCAGCTGGAGTCACCTCCTGCCCACAGGTCAGATCCAGTGAGTTGGAAGCTGTCCACCCATGGGCTGGGTTGAATCTGTTGATGGGTCATATCTGGCCTGCAGGCTGTATTTTGCCCACCCATGTCCTAATTCTGGATGTTAGGGAAATCTCAGAACAGAATGGATGTTACCATGCCATTTATCAGAACAGCGTTCTGAAACATCACTGCAAACCTCTAGACCATTAGAGATCACCCTTTTGCTATGTTTTCCACCTGTAACTTCCAAACACAGTCCAATAAATTGCTCTTTATGTTCCTCTCCTTCCCGGCAGGCACAGACTGAGATGGCACAGCTTTCAGAGCTCCCATCGACCCAGTTTGAGCTCGGCATCCTTACAGATTAACTGCCAGTCTGTGGCACAGATGAACCTGCTACAGAAATACTCACTCTTGAAGTTAACTGCCCTCCTGGAGAGGTACACGCCTTCCAATAAGCATGGCTTCAGCTGGTAAGCAATTAATACCCTAATTGGCAGGCACCTAACCATTCAATCCCTCAGGGATTGGCCACTCAATGAGAGAATTCAGGAAACCTTTAACTAACTTCCCCAGTCCTCATCACTTGCAGCTACACTTAATTATTACCTCATCCAGCCATGTCGTTGCAATGTCTGTAGCATCTCAGGATATGAAAATCATCAGTTCTTTGTATTTGGTTGGCCTCGTATGCATATTACTTGGGAGGCACAGAGCCACATAGAACGTATTTCAGGGCACATGCTAGTAAACCATGGACTGTTTGTCTATGCTGGGAGAAGTCTAGCTGGGATTCCCAATGAAAAAGACTAGAGATACATTAAAACAATTTGTCTTTAGTAGGATGTACCTCTGTACATTTGAAAAAACAGTAGAAAAGATTTCTCCTTCTTTAAATTATTCTTAATATTTTATGACATAATTGTACTTGGTATTTACTGTAAAATAAGTTTCTGTATAATAGTAAGTGTTTTTCTTTCTTTTAAATAATTTTTAAACATAAAATCAATGCAATTTAGTGGTTTTTAAAACAAAGGATAAAAAAGATCTAGATTAGAAACACTAATAAGATTCCTGTAGCCAATAGTATTGAGCATTTGCTACACATGTAGTGTCTTTCGTCAGATGGCATGAAACAGAAACCTTCTATGTTTCCTTATCTGTCAGTGCAACCTAAGAAACCAAAAGGTGCAATAAAATTTTTCTCCCCTTCGTTCTCTTCCCTGCCACTCATCAGCCTCCTCCCTTCCCCGGGACTTGTAGTAAGTATTTCACTCCGCATCAAAGTGCCTCCTATTCAAAGGCTGTTATTATGTGAGCCATTCTAAATACAGAAGTTGTTTGTTCTGAAGGACAGAAATAAGTATTGACCAGTTATCCGTGCATGCTTCAGATTCTCGATGGGCATCGTAATGTGTTTTTTCACATTCCATTGCCGTGTTTTACAACAAAGCAAGTATTATACACATGTATATCAATAATGCTTAACTACATGGAAATACAAATTGATTCTCTTTATTTTCTGTGGGCTAGATTAGGCATAAACACAATACATTGTCTGTTTATTTGCACTGTACATTGGACTATTTAAAAGGGTCTCCCCAATTTCTAAGACTGCTATATTCTGCTAGGCTTTGTATCCTGTGTTAACTTTCTCTTTCATTAACTAAATGATCTCAGCAGTTTCAGATTCCAAAGGGTTTTTTCCCATCTTTGAGAAGAAAACAATACTAAAAATCTGAGTGTAAATAATTCTTTTTCAGTTTTGGTAGTTTTTTCGTCTGAGTAAAAAGCAAGTAGAATGGCCTCTTACTGAAACTATGTGTGCGCTGGCATGTTTGTGAAGGGAGTGGGGGGCTCAAAAGCAGGGGGGTCCCTCAAAGAGGTCATTTAAAAGAACTGAAGTTTCTAGCTGACAGACTCTAATGCATTACATCAGTTTCCTGCTGTGGCACATACTGGTGGGTGGTGGGCCTGGTCTGAGGGCTCTATAGAACAAGTGGTTGACATACAAAACGTTCATTGTTCACATGCCCATCTTTATTGAGACCTAAAGAAGCTATGCCGTAAGAGGTCGTTGACCACAGGATTTATTTTGGCTCTTAGGCCAACCTGGCCCCTGCAGTTCTGCCCCCTCATTTACGTCGTACTCATGTTAATAGACTAGCAGTACGTTAGCGCTTGTAATCAATCTATAGAACCTTCCCGACACTAAGCTTTCCTCGTAGAGGAACTTTATTTCCCACCTTTTGGAATAGATTAGAAAATTTATTATTTCAGGGCCTCTCCTAATGTTAATTCTATTAAGTGTTTCTGTTTCACATATATTTATAGTGTATCTTACAGCTGCTGGAATCCAGAATGCAGGAGGGGGGATGTATGTGTGAGCCAAGGTTAGTGTCTTAATGCCTAAGATTTCTG